GTGACCCACAGGTTGAGAACCGCTGCTTTAGTGATAAAGTAGTTTTCCAGTCTGCAAGGATAACTGAAGAAGGCTGCGATTTAGCAATGCACATTGGTGCCATTCGAGCTTCCTGTTGGAAGCTGAGAACTTTGATGAATAGGGGTTCTTTCTGGAGCACACAGAGTCATCGGTTTGATTTGACATGTGCATACCAGGGTGACTTCATAGAGTTTGATCTTTTTCTTTCTTAGGCCATCTAGCCTGAAAGACTGTGTTATTGAATTAGGAGTTTGTTCAAGCACAGCCTCTGTATCAAGCAGCGAATATGCTCCCTTGAGTTGTCCTAGGCTGTAGCTGATACTACATGTTCAAAGGAACCCTTTATGCTTATTCAAAATAGTCTGGAAGGAAGTGTATTCTATTAATAATAGGAACATTTGGGGAGGAAAATAGTAGATTTAAAAATACTGACTATCAAATCTGTATTTTTTCTTCCAATAGGTAGAAGTGGCCCAAAAGTACATTGACTATCACATGGAAAAGTATGGCTTCCAGACACCCAATGTGACTTTTGTTCATGGCTACCTAGAGAAACTGGGAGAAGCTGGAATCAAGAATGAGAGTTATGATATTGTTATGTAGGTCTTTTTCCATATGGCCATGAACACAGCCCATTTCACATTGAACACCCAGGTGTCACTATTGTTTGCTGAATGGCATTAAAACTACACTTAACAGGACTTGGTAAGGGGAAGGGTGTGGTCTGTGCCCCTGGTAGCCCATTATCAGCAGAACATTCTGCCCAAGAGAGCTTACCAAACACATGGGCATGGTGTCAGGAGGACTATTTTCATGGCAAATTCTAGGATTCCGTGTTTCCCTTTTTCCTCTGACCCAAGGCACGGCTTTAGTAACTGCCTCTCAAGAACTTGGCCTCTTGACATGTTGCATAAAAAATACCTTGTGCAAGAGGTTCAGGGATGCATCTTTGCTTTTTTTTGTTGTTTTTTTAATCATTTTATTGGGGGCTCATACAGCTCTTATCACAATGCATGCATACATC